TAGATTTAAGAAAAAAAATCATTTCTACCAATAATCTATACATTATTTCCGTGTGTGTACTGTGTATGATATAGCTCTTCTTCGTCGCTGCTTATAATCTAAAGAAGATGAATAAAAAGAAATTCAGAAGATCAGTAGAGCGTTGCTGGTATACTCGAGACTCGATAGAAAACTATTTAAACACACTGACAAAACTAAGGTTATGATTTTGACAACACCGTGTTGTAAATGCTTACATTCCAACAAATGTTGTGAAGTAGCCAACAATTGTTGTCGTTGTGAATACATATAATATATGCCATTGTATGTATTCACAATGACAACGATTGTTGGCTACTTCACAACATTCGTTGGAATGTAAGCATTTACAACACGGTGTTGTCAAAATCATAACCTTAGTTTTGTCAGTGTAGAATATATAAGCATCTAATTTAAGTTATCTGCACTATTCTACTACTATTTGAACTATATGGAATTATTTTTGTATTAGATGGAATTATGTGAATTACGTTATTGTAGTAGTAGTCACCTTGATCGTACCTCGTGTTTTTTTAAATAAAAAACTATGGGCTGCAAAAGAAACTTATGACTGAAATTTGGTAGACATATTTCGTCGTTACGTACGAATTTTAAGGCTGATTCACATCACCCGATGATTCACCCGGCATAACTCTATATATTTCAATACTCGGTGATTAATGTGGTATTGAAAGCATTGAACCATTTCACTTAACCAAGAATGTGTTATAAGTATTAAACAAAATATAAATTGAAGAAACATTGGTAAATTGTGACTTCTTGATATAATCACTGGTTACATACATTTAATTTTGTGAACTCAAAAAAATTCAAAAATTAAAAGAATTAAAAATGTATTTTAAATTCGAAATTAAGTTAGACAGTATCCCTAATTTATCAACAAATTCTATAAAGCCTTACAATGGGACTACTACTACAACAACGCAATTCATATAATTCCATCTAGTACAAAAATAATTCCAGATAATTCCATATAATTCAAATAGTAGTAGAATAGTGCAGATGGCTTAGTTCTGATGTATATATATTCACACTTGACAGTACTCACACAGAACGCGCGCACGTATAACACTCGATAGAAAACTGTTCAAACAATGAAATAAAATAAAATAAAATATCATCGCATTATATCGATATATATATACATCAGAACTAAGTCATCTCCAGTATTCTACTACTATTTGAACTATATGGAATTATCTGGAATTATTTTTGTACTAGATAGAATTATATGAATTACGATGTAATAGTGGTTTCCCCCATGAAGCCTTATCATCGACCTATATAGATATGGTCAATACACAAGGCGACACTAACTCACATTCTATGTGTCTGTATGTATTTCAAATTTTGACCTTAGTGGTCATTCCACTGATTTTGCAAAATTTATGATACATACAGTGTAATCCTGTGTGCGTTTGAAATACAAGCTATACAATTTGCTGGAGTTGTGAGATTGATGATGTCACTTCGAAAAAATTTCTGACATCTGATATACAGGCTTTAATGTCTCGTTTGGATTCTAACTCACGGTGTAAACTAGCATTGAAATTTAGATTAAGCATTTGATTCTTTTAAATTTTTCAAGCGTTCTAACTGATGCGGTGATAACTCATCTGGCTCGGGTATACTAGCGCGTCCACCCAATTGTTTTGGTAGCTCATGCGTTGTTTCGCCAAATGCATCGTCAAAATTTACTTCAAATTTATTGTCATCTTCAATTGATTCCGTAGTAGATATTGGTGGCGGAGGTGGTGGTACGCTAGGTGGTGGTCCACTTCTAGAAGTCTGCTTTTCTGATCTCACAGTTCCAATTAACGGTTCATTTATGAATGGTTTTGACATATCTTTTTCTGCGGTTAAAATTTTGCATTCAGAGTTGTTTATTTGTTCTGATTTTATTTGCGGTCTCTTGCTAGTTTCAATTCGAGCCTCCTCTATAATTTTATCAACAGCTTCTGCTACATCTTTTTTCATTTCATCTCTGTTGGGTTTTTCGACATTTTCCTCATCTTCCTCTTTGATGATTTCATTCAAGAAGCTTTTTTCTGCATCCTCTACCTATCGGAGTTTTATAGTTGAAATTTTACATAAATTTCTATGCTTATAAGCAATATATTTCTTTCTGGCGATTTTTTTTCATTGAAATTTCAATGCCATAATTTGAAATTTTTGTGAAAATATTGAGTGTTTTCTGTAGTGTGTTCACATTCATAAATTAAGTTTTTGATCTGGATATCCACAAAAATGTCATATTATTATGGCATTGAAATTAAAATATATAATTATAATACATTGAATATAAAAATTGGGCATTAGACAAAAAATCCCCACAGAGAAGCGAAATCAGACAAGCCTTAAAGGCAACAAAAATAACACAAAACTTAAAATGAACAATTATTGTAAATATAGTCACCATGGGCGTTGCAGCCGTCACTGATATTTGAACAAATCCCAAACCCAAATCTTGTGAATTTTCATCAACTCTTAATTCTTTTCTTGATCGGGGCTTATCTTCATATTCTGAGTCCTATCCAGAGAAAATAAAGCATTGTAGAATTAAATTGATATAAAATCAAATTATGTTCTTTGGATTAATTTTTTGACCCCAAAATATCCGACATCAGTATTATATCTCTCCCTGTTATCTTAGGGAAATTATTTCTATGAATAAAATGTTTCTATATTTTTCGGAAAAAGATTCACTTAGCAAAATATTATAAAAATTAACCCCCGCCCTTCGAGTTGGGTCATTCAGGGCAGCCAAAGCAACATACCAATGGAAACTACATTTATACTCTGAAAAAACTGTTGTGGGGTTATGTTCAACTTTATGCGGTGACGTTTATTTACACTACAA